TGATCCCTTGATCATTATGTAGTGTCCTTCCTTGTCTCTTGTAACATTCTTTATTTTAAAGTCTATTTTATCTCATATGAGTATTGCTACTCCAGCTTTCTTTTGATTTCCATTTGCATGGAATATCTTTTTCCATACCCTCACTTTCAGCCTGAATGTGTCCCTAGGTCTGAAGTGGGTCTCTTGCAGACAGCATATATATGGGTCTTGTTTTTGTATCCACTCCACAAGCCTGTGTCTTTTGGTTGGAGCATTTAATCCATTCACATTTAAGGTAATTATTGGTATGTATGTTAATGTGACCATTTTCTTAATTGTTTTGGGTTTGTTTTTGTAGGTCCTTTTCTTCTCTTGTGTTTCCCACTTACAGAAGTTCCTATAGCATTTATCGTAGAGGTGGTTTGGTGGTGCTGAATTCTCTTAACTTTTGATTGTCGTAAAGCTTTTGATTTCTCCATCGAATCTGAATGAGATCCTTGTTGGGTAGAGGAATCTTAGTTGTAGGTTCTTCCCTTTCCGCACTTTAAGTATATCATGCCACTCCCTTCTGGCTTGTAGAGTTTCTGCTGAGAAATCAGCTGTTAACCTTATGGGAGTTCCCTTGTATGTTATTTGTCATTTTTCCCTTGCTGCCTTCAATAATTTTTCTTTGTCTTTAATTTTTGCCAATTTGATTACTGTGTGTCTCGGCCCGTTTCTCCTTGGGTTTATCCTGTATGGGACTCGCTGTGCTTCCTGGACTTGGGTGGCTATTTCCTTTCCCATGTTAGGGAAGTTTTCAACTATAATCTCTTCAGATATTTTCTCGGGTCCCTTCTCTCTCTCTTCTCCTTCTGGGACCCCTACAATGTGAATGTTGTTGCGTTTAATGTTGTCTCAGAGGTTTCTTAGGCTGTCTTCATTTCTTTTCATTCATTTTTCTTTATTGTGTTCTGCAGCAGTGAATTCCACACCATTCTGTCTTCCAGGTCACCTATCCGTTCTTCTACCTCAGTTATTCTGCTATTGATTCCTTCTAGTGTAGTTTTCATTTCAGTTATTGTATTGTTCATCTCTGTTTGTTCTTTAATTCTTCTAGGTCATTGTTAAACATTTCTTGCACCTTCTCGATCTTTGCCTCCATTTTTTTTCTGAGGTCCTGGATCATCTTCACTATCATTATTTTGAATTCTTTTTCTGGAAGGTTGCCTATCTCTACTTCATTTAGTTGTTTTTCTGGGGTTTTTTGTTCCTTCATCTGGTACATAGCCCTCTGCCTTTTCATCTTGTCTATCTTTCTGTGAATGTGGTTTTTGATCCATAGGCTGCAGGATTGTAGTTCTTCTTGCTTCTGCTGTCTGCCCTCTGGTGGATGAGGCTATCTAAGAGGCTTGTGTAAGTTTCCTGATGGGAGGGACTGGTGGTGGGTACAGCTGACTGTTGCTCTGCTGGGCAGAGCTCAGTAAAACTTTAATCTCCTTGACCACTGATGGGTGGGGCTGGGTTCCCTCCCTGTTGGTTGTTTGGTCTGAGGCACCCCAACACTGGAGCCTACCTGGGCTCTTTGGTGGGGCTAATGACAGACTCTGGGAGGGGTCATGCCAAGGAGTACGTCCCAGAACTTCTGCTGCCAGTTTCCTTGTCCCCATGGTGAGCCACAGACACCCCTTGCCTCTGCAGGAGACCTTCCAAACTAGCAGATAGGTCTGCTTCAGTCTCCCCTGGGGTCACTGCTCCTTCCCCTGGGTCCCAATGCGCACACTTTGTGTGTGCCCTCCAAGAGTGGAGTCTCTGTTTCCCCCAGTCCTGTCGAAGTCCTGCAATCAAATCCCACTAGCCTTCAAAGTCTGATTCTCTAGGAATTTCTCCTCCAGTTGCCGGACTCCCAGGTTGGGAAGCCTGATGTGGGGCTCAGAACCTTCACTCCAGTGGGTGGACTTCTCTGGTATAAGTGTTCTCCAGTCTGTGAGTCACCCACCCAGCAGTGATGGGATATGATTTTACTGTGATTGCTCCCCTCCTACCATCTCATTGTGGCTTCTCTTTTGTCTTTGGATGTGGGGTATCTTTTTTGGTGAGTTCCAGTGTCTTCCTGTCGATGATTGTCCAGCAGCTAGTTGTGATTCTGGTGTTCTTACAAGAGGGAGTGAGAGCACGTCCTTCTACTCCGCCATCTTGGTTCCTCCTGGGCAAAACTGTAGTTCTTAATTCATCCCAGAAGACAGCAAGCTGCTGGGGCAGCCAGTCATTTTCAGGGAAGAATAGCCTGGAGAGAAAAGCACTCCACCTTTTCAGATCAGGGCCAACAGTGAAAAGATGAGAATGAGACCTCACAGGAAGACTCACAAGAGACTTCAGTGTGAATAAGAAGTGCTGGTATATATATTCCTTCAAGAAAAAAGTCCAGTGACCTAAGTGACCCCAAGAGAAATGATCGATAATATGCTTATGAAAAATACAACAAATAGCCTGAATGAGCCAAAATACAATTTATGTATTTTTCACAGTAATTACTTGTTATTAGTACTAGTGGTATGCACATGTGTGTTCAACTGACCCTACCACAATGGTACACAAGTACACACAGAATTTGATGTACACCATGTGTACTTTTCTCAGTCCCAGTCCTTGATGGGTATGTTCATATAATAGGTACTCAATAGAATTTGGGAATATTCCTCCAATTTTATTCTCTAAAATAGATTGAAAACTACTTGAAGGACAATATATTTTCAGACTACATCAAGGGCTCCAACAAATCAGTAAGAAAAAGATGAATAAGTAAAACAACAACAAGAAAAAACAAACAGGCAAAGGATATGGACCATTTCACAGAGCAGGAAATACTGATAAAATGTGAAAAGATGCTCAACCTCATTGATGACTGGGAATATGCAAGGCAAAATGAGGTATCGTTTTTTGACTCATATTTGCAAAAAACTGTAATATTATCAAGACAGGTTCATACACTGCTTGCGAAAGTACAAGTTGGTTGGGCTACTTCGGAGGGCTATCTGCCGATATCTATCTGCATCCTGAGTTTGAGGAATTCTCGAACTGTGCTGGAGTCAGTTTGTACCAGCTTGCAAGAGTTAACGGTGTATAACTCGTCCCAAATCCAAGTTCCGTAATGAATATTAGTAGTTTGAAATTGGCCATGGTGGGAGAACTCACACAATGGAAACAGGACAAATGCTACAAATTAGCCCCTACCTCCTTTTATGGGAGACTGGCTGTTAAACATTTATCGTACTCCAGTCTATTTGCCAGTGTCTAGAATCTAAAAAGCGTATAACCCATGATATAGCAATTCCTGTTTTCTAAGATATATTTGCACATGTATATAGGGAGGCACGTGCAAGTATATTCACTGCAGTATTGTTTGCCATGGGGAAAAACTGGAAACAACCTAAAAATCCATTGATAGGGAATTAAAGAAAAACAAAATCCAAACCTATTGTCTCTCTGTAATACTATGCAGCAGTTGAAATTAGTGAGGTAAATTTATATAAACTTTTGGGAGGAAAAACTTCTCTACCAACTTAGGTCTGACTGAGGGGAGTGCGATGCACATGAACTGACAACACACAAATTAACAGGAGAAAAATGTATTAATATTATGAATGCAGGACCACCCCATAGTACTCCCTGTACTACTCTAGAGTAGCTCCCAGAATAGCTACGAGTAAAGGTTTATATACCAGGTTAATAGGAGGGGAGGGGCTTTGGGCTTCAAAGGATGGAAGGCTCTGGTGAGATGTGTTTACACAATTTTGGGGGGATGTCTCGGTGCCCAAGGTCAGCCTCCCTAATTTGAGCCGTAAGGGTGATGGGGGGAGAGTGCTGGCAGCTGGCTCTAGTAGAGCTCTGTTCTGATCAGATAAGGGAAGTTCTAATGAGATTTCTTTCAGCATCTTCTGTAGTTCAGATGCTTCCATTTTGAAATATTCTCTATATCAGTTTGGTGGGTTGTTGGTCTCTGTAGTACTAATTTAGAAAAGTTCCAAAACATGCTGTTGAGGGAAAAAAGCAATTTGCAGGATAATACATACAGTGTGATTGCACTTGTGTTACAGGAATACATAAAACAGTACTGTAAATATGGCCATATATGCAGGTAGGTAAAAATCATAAAAAAACCATGGAAGGAGATACACTCAAAGTGATCACAGAGATTATTGCTGAGGAAGAGGAGGAAGAAACCAGGATGGACGGTACTGGTCACAGAGGACTTTAGCCTTAACTATAAGGTTTAAATGCTTCTCAAGGACAATGTATCCATGTATTATTTGCATAAAGTTAAAACCAAACCAAAACAGCTCCTTGAAGACAGAAATGTCCATACACTTCCACCCAAAAGGCCAAGGTCCATGTTCTGAGCTCCCGGAATGGGAGGTACCCTCTTAACCCTGAAATATAATCAATCCCTCTTCCAGTGGCCTCGGCCTCTTGGGCAGCCCTATACTCCTCCCACAGGGCACCCTGGAAACTTTGTGGGATATCAGGCCTGATTAAGACCCTTAACAGTCCCTGAAAAAAGATTATGAGTCTCCTCCCTTCTTTGTACTTATAATTTAAAAAAACTGAAAAAAACAAAAAAACTATGAAAGCACAGAAATCCTACAAAAGTCCTGATTTTTCCTAAGACTATGGTGATACTTTTGACAGTTGAAACATTTTTAATCTCTCAAAAAACTTAGCTGGAAGCATGTGCTTAATTCTGGGTGATTTAGCACCTGGCAAAATAAGGGTGAGAAATGGAACAAGTCACCAGCAATCTTCAGTCCTTTTCCAGGACAAGGATAAGATAAAATGGAAGGAAAGGATAAGAGTTTAAACCCTCGACGTCTCCCCAAACCAGCTTCTTAACAAACCACAGTTAAGTGGCTTATTAATTGGCTAAGCTTCCAGGTACAAAACTAGGTGTAGTGTTCCATCTACAAAGAATGGCCCTGCTGTTATGCAGCAACCACTTCTCTCTGGGGGCTCATGCAGGTCAATAGGGACTAGCTGGGTCTCACCTCTCCAGCAGTGATTCTCCAGCTGCTTTCCCACAGGGCCTGCAAGTTGATTCTCCCAGGGTCAGGTCCCCCGTGAGGAGATTTCTCCAGCTCTTCAGGGAACTTCAGAATCAAATTCCCTTGGCTTTTTATTCAACAGCTCCCTATGTGTACAGGGAGAGGAAAGGGGACTGTTTGTTAAACTTTTGCCTTACTCTTCCCCATTTACTAAAGTTACATACATAAGCATAGATGCAAAGAAGGATCAGCTTTTTCCCATCTGTCTCAGCAAGGGAATTGGGTGGGTCTGATAACTTGCCCACTGGATACTCCTCTACTCGAATTATCTGGTTAGTTATTATTTACTTACTTATTTATTTTACTTACTTCCTGATACTGGGGGAAAAGATTTTTCTCTAAATTCCCTATAGACCATATTTAAAGTGGTGGTACACTAACCAGCAAATGGTTACATCTATGGTTTAATGGATCATACAGTAAGTAATTTATGAAGTGATTTGCTTTCTTCCACCTCAGAGGGGATCTGGGGAAAGGCACCTCCTTGGTCTATGAGGTCCAAAGCCAGGTGGACCTTCAGTGCCCAGAGGATTTGGCACCTCACCTCTAGCCCCTACCTGGGCCGGCCACTCCAGGTTAGGGTGGGGCTCCAGGGGACAGTGAATGTTACCTGGCCCATCTGCCTTCCTGGGCCATTCTTTGGCTGTTGGTTGACAGCAAATACAAACTCTCTGGGCAAAGTTCAGTTTTACAGAGTAACAACCTTCACCCCCGTTAAGTCGCCACAAATGAACTCTGCTTTGTGGGAAAGAGCAGGTAGGAGTGAATTTTTTTTAAAGACTACTCATTCTGGGCTTCCTTGGTGGCACAATGGTTAAGAATCTGCCTGCCAATGCAGGGGACATGGGTTTGAGCCCTGGTCTGGGAAGATCCCACATGCCGCAGAGCAACTAAGCCCATGCGCCACAACTACTAAGCCTGCGCTCTAGAGCCCGTGAGCCACAACTTCTGAGCCCACATACCACAACTACTGAAGCCCACATGCCTAGAGCCCATGCTCCACAACAAGAGAAGCCACTGCAACGAGAAGCCTGCGCACCGCAACGAAGAGTAGCTCCTGCTCACCACAACTAGAGAAAGCCCGTGCGCAGCAACGAAGACCCAACGCAGCCAAAAAAACCCACTCATTCCTTCCTGCAAAGTGCTTGTGGGGCATGAACGTGAATCTCATGGGCTAACAAGACAAAGGTTGTTTTTTATTTCTCGTTGCTTTCCCTTCCCTTTCCAGAATCTAGGCCCTGGGGATTCTCTTCAGGAGGCAGGTAAGCGACCCTTGAAAGAACAACAGACTTCACCTTCCTTCTCAATCGAGCCAGAATGGGCCCAGAGTTCCACCAGGCATGCTACAGTAACTGCTTGTGGCCTCACCTCCTCATGGAGGGAGTAAGCCTTGGGGTTTGTTAGTTGCACAGTCCTGCGTCTGTTAGCAGTCACAGATTCTCTGACTCCAGCTACGTTTAGCTTTGATTGTCTTCCACAGGAACACAACTGCATTAGCCTCCCTTTTCTCAGCTCTCCATTTATGACAACTCATCACCTAGAACCTGAGCCCCAGATTGTGAGCCAGATAAGATTCAGAATTGTAAACATCCACCAAGAGAAAAGGCAGGCCTCTTCCATGAAAAGGAGTGACCCTACCCATTCCTGGAAACGTGTTCCCTTTCCACCTCCAGATCCAAAAACATACCCCTCTATCTTCACGAGTTCACCTGATTTTAAAAAGCTTTGGCTTATAAACCTTTCCAGATGACTCCAGCCCCCTCTGACCTTTTTCTTTGCTGAAACTCTCATAGCAATTGTGTTTGTACCATTCAATTTAGCACTTAATTGACCACTGACCTGAAATGCTTGTAAACTGCTTCATGGTTACTGGTTTTAGCTTCCTAAGAAGACAGTTCCTAACAGTAGTAATAATGATAATAAAAATAGCAACAGCAAACATTTATATGTGCCAACTCTGTGCAGATATTATCCCAGGTGCTTTCTACATATTAACTCATTTTATTCTCCTAGTATGCCAACTGAGGTAGGTATTATTGTATTATCATCCCATTTTTACAAATGAAGAAACTGAGGCAAAGAGATGTTAAATAAGTTGCCCTAGTTTGCACAACTTGTAAATAAAAGAGCCAGGATTTGACCCGGGCAAAGAGCCCTTGGGTCTCTAAAAGATGTCTTTTAGACTATCTCCTAAATCCTATTTATCCTATCTAATCCTGTGAATTCGATTTATCATCCCTTAAAAAAAAAAAAAATCAGCCCTATTTTTCAGATGAGAAAACTAAACTCGCCTGAGGTCCCACAGTCAGGCCTGTGCAGAGCTGTGATTGAAACCTACATCTCTCTGACTCCAATGCTTTCTTTCTCCCTACTAAATGGAACCACTGGATTTGATTAATACTCAACTCAATCATCACACCTCTGATGCTCATTCATCTCATGCACAATTGTGGAGACTTTTGTAGGCAGGGGGAGGGGGAAGCATACAAAGATGATGAGATAAGGTCCCTCTCCTTAAGGAGTTCACAGCCATGGGGCGGGGGTAGGGGTGGGGGGAGACAGATGTGCAGACAAAGAGGTGTACTTAAAATGCTTAGGCGCTGTGATGGCAGTTGTGAAAGTTCAGCAGGCACAAAGGGATGAGAATGGAGTACTGAGGGATCCTTGTCTGTCACAGAGGGGAGTGAACTGAGACTTTTTATAATGTTTTTAATTCAAAGTTTTGTAACTAAAAAAGATTTTGCGATAAACTCTGTTGACCAGAAAATTCAACTAAGAGCACCCTGAGTATATGGATTCATTAGGTTTCTGCTGTAAATAATAATCCTCTCCAAATCCACTACAAATTGTTGCTATTTTCTTGGTTGCCCCTGGCTCCATAAACCTTAGGGGATTGGTAGAGGTGGTGGCAGATTGCTTTCTGGGAATTCATGAAACTCCTGACACTGAATGAAAAATTCAGTGAATATGTGCATGTCTTTTTTCTGGGAAAGAGAAACCATAGCTTTCATTGGATTCTTTAAGACATAAAGTATCATCCAAAAGTTAAGGACCACTAAAATGATGCTTTGAAGGTATCCTTGAACATATAACTATATCAACATATATATGGATATAGATATAGTATATGTGTGTGTACGTATGTATGTATATACCCCCTTACTTTGATGTGCCTAGAAAGTGTCTGGAAGGAAACACACCTTCCAGACTGTTAACAGCAAGTACTTCAGGGGAGAGAGACTTTTTTTAAAAGCAAAAGGCAAGGAAGACTGATTCTATACAATTCTATACTGATTTAAAAATTAAATAATCTTTAATAATTTTTAATGAGCACGTGTTACTTTTTTTTTTTTTGGCTGCACCATGTGGCTTATGGGATCGTAGTTTCCTGACCAGGGATTGAACCTGTGCCCCTTGCAGTGAAAGCATGGAGTCCTAACCACTGGACAGCCAGGGAATTCCCAACATGTGTTACTTTTATAATTAAAATGTTAAAAAAAAAAAATCTGACTTCTCTTCTACTGCACTGTGGGTAGACCATGTTGAGAAAACCGTAACAGTGAGGAAGTGGCTGCTACAGAATTCACTATAGACATTATTATAATGAATTAATGAACAAGAGTTATGTTGTATTTAGTAAGCTTGGGTCATGGTTGTCCAGCAAGGATAAGGATAATCTGCTGCCTGTCTGGGTACTGTGGACAGCCAGGAAGCCCCATGTGGCAGCAGACTCATCTTGCACATTGTCCTAGAGATGGGTGGCACTGAGTGAAGCCAAGGTAATAAGAAATAGCATCAGGCTCTAGAAAGGACATTAGCAGCCTCAGCACAGAGACAGGTCTAATGTGGATGCAGGTTGCAAGTGACACTGGACCTCACAGCCCTCAAGGTCATATCTCCAAAGAAAAATCATCACTGGAAAAATTATTATCATCTAAACACAATGAGCTAAGACATAGGTATTTTCTACAAGCACATTTTATTCTTTTGGTGAGTCTGGCAGGTAGAACATAGACATGGAAGACAGTACCTTAAGGTCTCTTCCTGACGATGGCCTTGTACAAGTCCTCTGCCCTGTCTCTCCAGATGTTTCCCCATTTTGACAAGATGATAAAATAGCTTCTACAAAAGCCTCCAAATCGGTCATTCTGAGATCAGTGCCAAATTTTAGCCATGGTTCTAAAAATAGCCAGAATATGAATCATATAAAATTCCCCAATTTATTTTTATTTCTTTAATGTAAAAACAGTATAATAGCAGCATTAAGGATTTTAACTATTTTCATTATTCAGCCTAAATTCCTTTAAACTAGTAGTTTAATCTCTTATTCCACTGTGCAATCAAACCTATATTTCCCCCCTTCCCATTTCTCCCCCACCTCCATCCTGTAAATCAACAGAACTTGAAACCCTAACACTAGCAAGAAACAGAAAACTAGCCAAGAGCAGGTAAGAGAGAAAGAAAAGGCCTACTTACAGTGCTTGGTGAGTAAAAGATGTAAATACCCGTATTTTACTATCTTCTCATGTACAGGCTTAGTATTTTATTCTGATAATATATGTACTAAACTTGTGAATTATGTTGGTTGGCACCATTTATCTGACAGGAAACAGGCCGAGGCAGGTTCCTTTGCAACATAAGCTAGTGAGCACGGCATGTAGTTGTGACGTGGTAAGAGACGTTTATGGCCGTCCCCAGATAAGGGAGAACTGACTGCACTTAGATAAAAATTGCTATTTCTCAAATTTTGAGGTAAAAAACTGTACACTTTGCAACTAGAGTTAAATGCAAACTAATTATGTTCTATTTACATTTTCCCTTCTGCTGGCTAAATCACCATCTAAAATATTTGAAAACCTTGGCTGGGAAGTTGGACAGTTAAGAATTATAAGGTGGTGACTGTCTCACAAAGGCCCAACTTTTCCAGCATCCTGTTCTTTTAGAAAAGTATCAAACCATTTCTGATCTGACTCCAGAAGGCCTCCTTCTATATCCTTGTCCCTTCACTGGTCTAGATATTTATTGTGTACTTCAGAAAACAATATTTTCTAACAGCTGTTTAACATTTATTTTCCTTTAATTTCTATTATATTCTGTTTTCCAAATTTTCACTCAGGTCTAAAAAAAGAACTTCAATAATTACTAGCTTGACACAATGTCAGCTATTTAAGATTTCAGATACTCAATGTGATCGTTTGCTTTTCACCACCTGCTTGCACTTGGGAAAGACTAAGTTAAACTAAACTTTAAAATGCTGCAATTCCTTTTGAATCATCGTTAAAGCAAGACTGGGGGAAGAGAGGTTATATAAAGGAAAGAGGAGGCTATAATAGTCGAATTTAAGCCTCCACTGATGAAGCTGATAGGAACCAGAGCTTCCAAGAAAAGGCAGTCCTGAGAATAAGGCCAAATCCTTTGCTCCCTATCAACATGAAACTGCTGAAGTCTGGAGATTCTTTCTGACTTTATTTTGAAAGCAATGTTTGGCTTGTCTGTACTGTTTCTAAACAGACTGAAGTTACAGTGCTTATGGTTTAAGCAGGGACAATTTCTACAAGGCCCAATTCAGGCTGAGGATTATTTTTATTTTGCTCCACATTTCCTGAACTCAAAATAAAGTGGTTTTAACCTAGGGTTATAGAGGTAGGAAACCTAGTGGGGTCTGCTGGGACCCTTATGCCAGTTTTCTCCTTTCCTGGTCCTTTCTCCATGCTTGCCCCATCCCCAGGAAGATGTCCTAGTATAAGTAAGTGCCCTTTGCAAAAATTTACAAAAACAGGTCAGTACCAGAAAATACAAAAAGCAGATAATATCCAATAGGCAAGAAAGGGAATGATTTAGTCGCATACTTTCTTAGAGGTAATACAAACTGATATTAACCTTTTTGGAGAGCAATTTGTAATGTTTATCAAAGTCTTAAAAACTGTGTGCTCTGTACATCAACTATACCTCAATAATAATAATAATAAAAACCCGCAAAAAACCCATGTGCTCCACTTCCAGGAATTTATTCAGGGAAAGTCAACTTTTCTTCTAGTCCTAGCCTTCTTTTTGTTATCTCTGTATATTAGGTTGATGGGTCATTTAACTCTTCTTAGTGAGTACTATATTTTCACAATAGACTATAATAAACATAATACTCCCTTGGCAATCAGAAAGTAAAAAATCACCAGTAAACATAAAACACATGCAAACACACCCTGTCTGAAACACTTGCATTCAAAAGTGTTTAGTGTTAAATATAGGGCCCACCTTCAGCAACCAGTTTCTTTTATTATTATTATCATTATTCTGAAAAATTCAGTATGCACTCAGTTTTACCAATGACCTAGGGTTTGGGGATATAATAAAAAAGCCCATGTCCACTTTTGTGGCTATTACTTTCACAGAATGACCTAAATAGAGCTTCAAACCACAACAATGATGCCCTCTCCCTGTGGGCCCATGGACTGTTCCTTCAGGCCTCCATAGACTTTCATTGGAAATGTGACTCAATACTAACATGGTAGCTACAGTTCTTCCTTTCAGTGACATCTGGAATCCCATTATCTGATGAGATATTCTTTTCCTCCATTTTACAGCAGGAGACATTATCTAAATTCTCCTGGATCACGTGACAGTAGCCCTGAGAACAGAAAGCAAGTTTTAATAGTTCTTTCGCCAAACCACGCGCCTTTTCTGAATCTATTTACCATACTGTTTCAAGATGTTTTCTGAAGGGTCCACAGGGGCTACATTTAAAACTTTCTGGTTATTGTCTGCTAACTGCTGGGATGGTTTTAATCAGGGAGGAAGCCAAATTTTCTGCTTGGGTTTTGGAAAAGCTCCTAAAATGTCTTTAAACTGATTTAGGAGAAAATGCTTAACAGAAGAGGAATTATTACTGCCCTGGAATAAACTCATTAGAACTGACATATGCTGTAACCACAGACCAAGAGCACTACATTTTTGGGACACATTACATCCCAAAGGCAACTGAAGTTTCTAAATGTTATCAGTGTCAGATGACAAAACCTGTTCAACAAGGACCATAGCCTCAATGTACTAGTTGACAGTTCCTCCTCTTAGAATATTCTTGGTGTTTGGTATAACTTCTCTACCAGGACCTAGTTTGTTTGTTTATTTATTTATTGGGTACGTTGGGTGTTCGTTGCTGCATGCGGGCTTTCTCTAGTTGTGGCGAGCGGGGACTATTCTTTGTTGCAGTGCACAGGCTTCTCATTGCAGTGGCTTCTCTTTGTTGCAGAGCAAGGGCTCTAGGGGCGCGGGCTTCAGTAGCTGTGGCTCACAGGCTCAGTAGTTGTGGCTCGCGGGCTCTAGAGCGCAGGCTCAGTAGTTGTGGCACACGGGCTTAGTTGCTCCACGGCATGTGGGATCTTCCCGGACCAGGGCTTGAACCCGTGTCCCCCACGTTGGCAGGCAGATCCTTAACCACCGCGCCACCAGGGAATTCTCAGGACCTAGTTTTTATGCTAGCTTTCTTGAAGAAATTGTCTTGAAGAAGTTTTATTTGATGACTTAGGTAAAATTTTCTGAGGTAAAGACCTCACATCACTTCAAGAGACATTTTCCCTTCCCACAATCCTGACTTGAGATAAGTGAAGGGAGACCCTTTATGATGAGGCCAATTTAGTTCTAGGTTCCAGAAAAGCCCAAGTTTCTCAGTAGCTCAGATCAAACCAGACCCCCCAAGATTTAAGCAGAACTAATACAAATGCCTCAATCAGTTCCAGAAGCATCTCATGTCTTACTAAGGTCAGTAAACCTCTTCTAGGTTAGGCAGGCTCCTCTAGATCCCAGCTCAGGCCATATTTGGTCAGCCTTGACCAAATTTATACATGATTTATCATGTATAAATTCCTATAATCCTAGCCAGGAATAAGCCACCATAGCAAGGGTTTCTAAAGCTGATCCCACCCCAGTCCTACTGAATCCAAGTCTCTGTGGATAAGGTCCTTAAGGCCTTTTTTTAAAAAAAATGCTTTTCTGAGTGCCTCTATATGCTGAAGTATAAGAACGTCTGCAGTAGATCAACTATAAGAGTAAATGAAAGGAAGAGAGAAAGAAATCGCAGCAAGCTGAGGCAGGCAAGATTTGAACTTGAGGATTTAATACTATTGGGGGAATAAGATTTTTTTAAAAAGCATGTCCCTGGGGAGGGATCATGAACACCTTTGCTTCAACAGCTCCATCTTCAGCTAGGCTGGCTGCATCAGTGTGCTGATACTTTCTTCTACCTCCGAGAGCTTCTTCAGGACTTCGGTGACCTTGACCTCATCAAACTCCAAACACAGAAATTCAGATTCCTGGAAAATATAAAAGGATATTTTAGACAAGACCCTCAAGATAGCCAAGGCTCTGGATCTGGTGTGACCTAGCTCCAAAGCCCAGGGCCCCTACCCAGCAAGCCTGACTCAGGCCTCAATACCTAAATGATATTTTATCCACACAACACCCTAAATGAAACTACTTCTATGAGGTGTTTCATAAATGCTAAAGAGGTATACAAATGTCTGGTGTTCTCTTTAAGAGGCACATGAGAAGCTCTTCTTGTCTGTCATCACATTTAATCCCATAACAATTTTTAAGGTAAGTACTTAAGTATTGCTGTTTTATAGATGATGACTCTGAGACACAGGGAGGTTAACCTGTATCACAAAATCAGAAAAAGACAGAGTCAGATTGTGAACTCCCAGCTCTGGCTGACTCCAAAGTCCATGCTGTCTCCATAGCACCCTGTAATAAAAACAATGGAAGGAGGATTTAGATTGGCTCTGTGTTTGCCTCGGAATTGGGCTACCTTGGATTTAGTGGTTATACTAGAAATTGTGACAAGCTGTGAACAAGTTGCTTGGGAAACATCAACCAGATAATTGAAAGATAACCAGATCTTGAAACAGCCTTAAACATTTCTGAGGCCTTTCCACTTGCTACAAGCCAACTCTCCCAAGATTTCCCTCAAAAACATTCCTCTCAATAACTGTTAGGATCAATCAACCCCAAATTAGGTAGAAATCAAAGGAAAAGGCCTTTGAAGTGTGGTGACAGAAATTTCATGTAACACTGGACAAATGCTACGTCCACACTGTCTTGAGAGACAAGGGAAAAGTATAGGATTTTAAGAGTGACCATATTCAAGATCCCAAAGAACAATAACCATGTAATTTTAGAGCAGTATGAATTCTTAGAGACCATATAACCCAACTACCTTGTTTTTCAGGTTATGAAATTGAGGCCCCAGGCATATTAAATGACATGCCTATTATCCCTGTTTGTTGATGGCACAGTCACCAGATCAATGTTCTTTTCTCTATATTTTCCTTTCTAAATACATGGTATTCCCCACCCCCATTCAAAGTGGCAGGCAAAGGAAGACCAATAAGCATCTTCAGAGGGAGGGAGTCACTCTGTCATCAGCTAGAAGAACCTTCAGGATCTGACTTTGTAAAAGTACCTTTGCTGTTGGTGAGCTGCTGTGCTGTGTCTATACTGATGGCACTGAACATCACCCAGGAGAAACAAGTACAGAGGGGGAAGAAGGGGCCTCTCAGATGAGGGTCTTTCAAAGGGAGGAAAAGCAGCTTTCCCTGGCTACAAGGAACTTTTTCCTCAAACATGTATTTAAACAGGAAAGGGGTATAGTCTCATATGTGAGCTTAGAAACTGCCAGGTTTTCATTTAGTCGAAAGCAAAAACCAATTAAAAAAAAGAAAGATGCTCCTGTGTTTGAGCTACAGGCAGGGTTATCTCCTTTTGGAAATAAGAGCAAATGTATGGCAAATTAGGTACTTCACTTGGCTAAATTAAGAACAGGTCTCAGATTTGAAAGCCTCTTATTCTTCATTCAGTTTTATTGAGCTCTTTAGCCCAACTTTAAAACATTTAAAAATATTTGGCCTTTGGAACAATGGTCTAGAAACTAATAATTACCAGAGTCTAACATATATATTTAGGAAACTGGCAGAAAAGATGATGTAATCCATGTTTCACCTCAGTGAGATACAGTCAGTTACAATAATAAATCACCTCGATTTCCATTTATATGGGAAGAGCCTATCAAGGACGATGTGCATAGAGATAGGAAAACCTGAGCAAAGTTTATTAATAAATAGCCAGGGTCTTTTTTGACTGAAGGTCATTAATTGGTTGTAAGTTTCAGTATTCAAATTATCTTTGATTGGACCTCTAAGTATTAATGAAGCTTGGTTTACTTTTAAGGGGAATCAAATACTAGAGAGAAAAAGCAGGCTAAACAGAGTCCAAAGTTAAACAAATATTTTCCACACACTCCCAACCTTCAACTCTCTCCCCTGGAAACAATGCACACTAACAGTCTTAGAAAGACACATGTAACCATACATTACTCTTGAAGAAACAGTTTACCTGAAACTATATTATCAAGGCCTAGCTTCATCTAGTTATGTCATCAAAATATTTTATCAGGGGCTTCCCTGGTGGCGCAGTGGTTGAGAGTCCGCCTGCCGACGTAGGGGACACGGGTTCGTGCCCCGGTCCGGGAAGATCCCACATGCCGCGGAGCGGCTGGGCCCGTGAGCCATGGCCGCTGAGCCTGCGAGTCCGGAGCCTGTGCTCCGCAACGGGAGAGGCCACAGCAGTGAGAGGCCCGCGTACCGCCAAAAA